TATAAATTGTTTGCATGTTAGGTGTAGCATTGTGCTTTATAAAATAATATTCACACAAAACAGTACAAATTTTAATAAAAAATAAATGGAAACAAGTTATATTTTCTTCTTGCTTCTAAAATCCACGTCCTTTGAAAAGTACTGTTGCAGAGTACCTAAACTTGCTTTTCTTTGCCATTTTGAGGAAAGGGGGTATCTTTCAAGACAGTGCTTCTGGCTCCCCCAGTTTCAGAATTCTTGGAGGTATTAAAGTGCGGATGATTAGGCCCTACTTTGGAGTTTATCACTGGGAGCGGGGCCTGGTATTCTCCATTTTAAATGAATTCTTCACAGGAGTTTATTTTAACCACTTTCAGTTGAGGAACACTGTTTATGGGCATCTCTCTTTTCCCAGGATGAGCCTGACCTTCCCTTGCATAATATTTATAAAATACTAAGATTTATTAACCTGGAATCCATGAAGAAGATTTGGGGATGACTATGAACTCCTACCCTCCTATTCCCCTTGTCTTATAAAAGCAGAAATAAATGTGTGATTGTATGTGTGCATTTTTGAGAATACGCTTCCTTAAATCCTGATAAGAGATCTTGGCCAAAAAAAAAAAGAGATTAAGAACAACTGATATGAATTCATATACAACCTGCCAAAACTAGTATAAGATTCTTAACCATAAGTATTATTTGGATATAATTTAATCGTTGTTAATGATTTAGAAGGTATTTCATAATGTGAACATCAGCTCTTATAGTTATCTAAATATATCAATTGAATATTTAGATTAACAGGAAGCTAAATAACAAAATTCAGTTTGAGACATTTATTTTGAGGTGTCAGAGAGAACCAAGTGGATCTGTCCTTTGTTACTGGAAGTTTTATTATAATGCATGTACCTAAACCAACACGAGATATTTTTTATTTAGCTACTAGGAGATGGGGAAAAGTAACCTAATTTAGCTTTAGTCTGGGGAAGACTGTTTAGCAGGCTTTCAAAAAATGAATCAGCTTTTTTTAATGAAAAATAATTTATGTTCATGATATTAACTTTAAGCACTACTAATGGGTATGCACTGGCAAGTATGCCTTCCTTCCACCCAAAACTCCCTTTTCTCCAGAGGCAACCACTGCTAACTGTTTTTGTGTATCTTTTCAGAAGTATTATTTACCTCATCCTTTCTTCCTTCATTTCCTCCTCCCTCCCCTCTTTTTTCTTCTGTACTACTGTGTTTTTTTCACCTAACAATATATCTTGGAGAGGGTTCCCTAATGTCGAAGATGTACCTCATTCTCCTTTAGGAGTCAGTATATTTATTCCATTGTTTAAAGGGGCCATAATTTATTTGAGTAAAATTGATAGATATCTAATCGCATCTAGGCTTTCGTGATTGGTGTTGCAGTGACTATCATTGTACTAATATCCTTGAGCATTTATAGAGTATATAGTTATGCGATATATTTCTAGAATCTATAGGATACCTATTGCTAAATACTTTTTAAGACTCTGTACTGATTTAAAGACCTTGTGAGTGCCTGTTTATTCATTCTTGTGTCAGCAGTATATTCCTGAACTTTCTTATCTTTGCCATTCTGATAGTTAAAAAATGGTTTATGTAAGCCCCGAACTTGAATTATCTACTACTCAGAGCTTTTCTTCATCCATTCTTATCAAATTTTCAATGACTCTTTTATGAGTCAGACAGCTGTAGCAGTTGAGATGGTGCAGATTCTTTATGACCCAAGTGTTTTTGCCAAAACAGCATTACTTCCCAGGCTTACTAAGTTACTAGGACTGTCTTAAAGCCAGGCAGCCCATGATCACTGCTTGCTTCCTAAAGCCTTGGGGTGGAGTAGGAGAGACCAAAGTGGGCATTCTGAAGAAATCCTTTTTACTACCCGCTCTATACCCCTCTACCTTACTCCATCCTTTCCCTTGGTCCATGCCACTGATGTTAGTTTGCTATCATAGTCACCTGACAGTTTGAATTTGTTCATCAATTCTGTATATAGCAGTATTGTCAGTATGTCTTATTTTTAATACAGTACAAAACAGCTAAATCTTTTTATCACTATAAATCAAATAATGGCAAAATCAAAGCCAGATGCGCGTCTTCTAGTAGTTTCTTTTGGCCTATACCCTTATGCAGTAACCTTTCCCCAAATTTATTTTCCTTCCCTGGTTTTTCTTTTATCTTGACTTCCTTATATATTTATTTTATCTTGTATGCATTATTTTCGTAAGCAGTTTCAAATCTCTTTTGGAAGTAAATGCAGACTATTGATCAACAAGGGATAGCAAAAATTAGAACAAAGGAAAGGGAAATTAAAAGCTGAAAAATGCATTCATTATTATTTGATTTGTAACAGCCCTGCTTTGATTATTTATGTAGACTGTTTCTATTAGTATTTGAACAAAATACCATTGATAGTGTCATATTAATGTTTCTTCAGCTACTCAATAGACTGATAGGAGCCACAGGCCTGGAACAATTCCTAGCACAAAAATAAATAACTTTTAGAAAAAGTGGAGCATGTATACATTCCTTTTGGCTTATTCTTTTCTTAGATTTTGGACAGTTTCCCCTTTCTAGAACAGTCTATAACCTTCCACAAACCGAGCCTCTCTTAGCAACTTGTCCTTATGTCGCAGACATTGAGTCAGAGGGTTTCTAGGCCCTGTTTCTTGAGAGAGTCTACGGACATATCACTGTGCTTCAGCTAGATTACAGTTAAACCATTCAAACCAACCACGAAGGAGTGGCTAACCACTGACTTTGGAAAAGGTCAGATGTATTTTAACACAGAACCATCATAACACCTTTGGAGTGAACAATATTTATATTTCTCTATATTAAGTATGACTTTATTTCCCATTCTTAACATGTGCCAATTTTCCTTTTGGTTTTACCTGTTTTTCCTTCCTGACAGGTTGCTTGTACACATTTAGATGTGGATTTAGTCTGCATAACTGTAACAGAGAAACTACCATTTTACTTCAAAAGACCTCCTATTAATGTGGTAAGTGTTACACTTTCTATTCTATACCTGAATCTGTAGAAACTTAGATTATCAAACTGGACAAGGGGCAAAAGAAACCAGTGTTCTTGGAGGGGGAAAAAATAAAAGCTAGATGATAAATAGGAAGCAGTTTTTAAAAGGGTATTTTATTTTCGTAAGCTGACTGAAGGGAGAAAGAAAGCTTAAAATAAAAAATGTTTAGTAAATATGAAGGTGCGTGATAGTTAGCACTCTGAACTCTTAAGATGTTTTTGAAAGGCCTTAGGAACAAAAATGTATGGAGGATATGTCTTGAAAGGATAGTTAACAATGATGGAGACCTATGGTGGAGACCTATAGCCTGAACATTGAACATTAAGGGGACAGAGCAGTCAAGAAGAATGGCAAGTGAAAAAAATGTCGGAGGTTCCAAGGCACCAGTGAGCTGGTGGGGGGATGGGGGTTGGGGGAGTGCAGGAGGGAGCAGGGCATGGAAAGTACAATAGGCATGGTTCATGCAAAATTAAAATCTGCGCTGAAGCATTCTGGTTGACACAAAAGCCCAGGTTACTTTTATGATAACCTAAGAGGGTGGCCATGCAGTCAGGAAATATTTTTTGTTCTTCCCTGTGCTGTAGAATTTTTCTCATTATCTTTCTGCATAGTTTCTCTTGTTTTCCCTACCCTTCATCTTCCATCTGTCTTATAAATCTTATTCCATTATAAAGGTAGTATTCTTTCACATGGGTAATGATAAGGTCAGCATAGCTGTCAACTATTTGCATTAGCAGCCAGATCTTAGAAAGGAGTGGGATGCTATTTCAGAAGAGTGGCTTCAGATCTCAGACTCCCATTCTCAAAAACTATGGAAAGAGAGAAGGAGTTTAAGAAACAGTCCAGATTAGATACCTAGTCCTGTCAGAATGGAAAATTTAAAATTTATATATTTTCTCAAGGTAGATAATTCCCCTGTTCTCTTCTCTGTAGAATCACAACCTCCTCATTTTCTGTTTTCCTGTCTCTGCTGCTAAGGAATTGGCTTGATGCCAAGAATGAGGGGTGGGCGACAGGAAAAAAATTGATCTATATGGTGCGGAAAAATTAAATCCAGTGTGGAAAAATTTTAGTTGGCTTATGTTCTACCCCTAAAAATATGCTACTAAAACTGTACTCGAAAAGTATTCAAAATTCTAAAGTTACATATTTAAAGGGAAAACTATAAAACAGCTCTTTTCTGATAAATATTGAGAGGACTACTGAACATATAACAATATTGCTTAAGCTCAAATATTATTTTTCCATATTCTTGCCAATACTTATAAATAAATAAACACTAAAAAAAAAAAATCACATTTTTGTTGGAGATCTGTGTTGTTTAACAGCTCACTTATCAAATATGGTAAAATAAAGACTAGCAAGGAGAAGCCACTCAGCTCCTCACTTGCAGGTTTGGGACAGTTCCGGTTGAGTGTCTGTGACACGAGCTCTCTGACGTGCCTCAGCTACCTATGATAAAAGACACAAACTAATACAGCACCCAAGGTTATGGTAGCCTTGTTGGCCTCACATACTGTTCCTCTCCAGAGGTAGCAATCTCTCACTCTAGAAGTTTGCCCGGGGTTTTTGCCAACCTCAATCTAGTTTCTTTGTAAATGGCACTCCCTGCAGTTAGGCAATGCAGCAACTCTATAAATTGCTATTAAACTTAGAACTTTTTACTTTCCACTTCGCCTTAATGATCAAGGAAGGCTACTTTCTAGATGGATTTGCCAGAGTAAGCCCACAATTGATACCATACCCTTGGCTGGGAGGAGAAAGCAGCATGTGATGCTAAGGCCACGTCCATGGAATGGACAGCAGTGCACGTAATTCTTCATGTCCCACCACAGTGGGAAGCTTCCCAGTGACTTGTTTTGGCGAGGCCTTTCCCTTGGTTTCTTATGAACGTGCCCTACTGTTCAGTCCAGACCGCGAGCTTCTAGAGAGCACCAGCTGTGTCATGGCCCTTTTTAAATTACCTCAATATCTTGTTAATATTGGGTCCTCCCTAAAATTTCTCAGTTGAGTGAGTAGTGAGTATATATCTAACTTAGCATATCAAAGTACAGCTTGGGGAACCTGGCCAACCTGCTTGTCTCATTAGTCATTAGCTGGGCAGTGAGGGAAGTGGGGCACTAGGGTGGCATGAGGAGGAAGATGGCACTGGAGACAACAGCACTGGGACATCCCACCCCCCGATTCCGTCTGTAAGTTCGAGAAAGCTGCTGTTGTTTGATGGATATGTTTGGCTTAATTCCCACATTTTTCAATTTAAGAATTCTGAAAAGTAAAAATTTGACAAGTGAGAGGGATGTGCAGTATTTAAAACTGTCTGCTTTTTTTAAAATCTGGTGCGAACATTTTACATATGTTGTTTAATAAAAACTAGATGGTGGAGTAGAGAGAAAGGCTGCACAAGATTATTTTTAGTCTTCATCTAATGTGGAAGTAGGCTGCGGTATGAATTGGTCAGGAAGCAGAAAAGTCCTTATTTATTCACCTAGTTCTCATTTAAGAGGAAGCTGGAAACGTACAATAAAAGGTATCATAATAGTTGTAAATAATAGTTGTATAGGTATGTATATATTATTTGTATCTGGTAGTATCTAATCTGGATATGGAGCTGTATGTTTTCGTTAATCTATGAGAATATATTCATCGTGAAATGTATAGAACATAGAGTGAATGTGGGTGGTTAACAATTCAGTCTTAAGTCTTGGTCCTTGCCTGCTCCTTTGGCCTTAAGGAAAAACTTGTCTTTGGTCATAACAAAATGGTAGGTTGGCTTTCTAGGGATCACTTCATTGGGCACAAGAAGAAACAGCACAGATCTTAGTTTAGATAGGGTTTGTGCTCTTTTCTTTTATGGTGGTAAGAAGTGGGAAAGTTAAGACAGGGAATTCATTAGTCTTTTACCTAGAGGCTAGAAGCCATGTGAGAATTATCAGTTTAGATGGTTGGGATTATGAAGGAGGGCCCAGGAGCTAAATCATATCAAAGCACTTCATTTGTGTAATTTATGACTCTTGTTCCTTTATCTTTACATACTTGGAACAGCATAATTTCAATTTTGTAATTCCCTCTAAAGTCTCCTACAAACCTCTTCTGTATAGTCTGAGTAACTTGTATAGGAATCACAACTTAACCATATGATAGTTTAATTTCTAAAAAATTGAATTCAACTCCTCTTCTTGGATAATCAAATGACTTCTAATTATTTAACATTTAGAATTTAGCACATTCACATCTGCTCTAGCCCTGCAGCTTTAGGGTGGGTTATCTCCATTGTGCAGGTCATGTTATTGATTAAGACTGGGATAGTTTGTGATTCACACATATATGTTTTTCTATCAGAGGTTGACTTGGGATTTATACTCAAGCTTGGATTCTAAATCTGCTGGCATCTCCTGCTGGGAAATGCTATTTAAAATTACTTAACAGATGAGCTCTTTGTTAAGCACAGAATAATATATTTAAAATGTAGTCTTTATGAATACAAATTTTGAGAATTTTTTTTTAGCAGCACACACCTTTACTTTCCCTTTAATTTTTTTTAGTGCTATTGCTATTCAATAATAACCTCAAGTTTACTGAATTATTTTCAGTGATTGTACATTTTACACTCTTCTGACCCTAATCTGTTTCTATCTTCATGGTTCAATTAGTCTCCACTGAGAGATGTCCAGTAAATAGTGTCTGAAGCAGTGACGTTGTTCTAGGAGTCATGCCATATATATTTGACTGGGTATGAGTGCTCTATAAACTTTATTTTTCATCACACCTATTGTGAACCTAAATGTGTTAAGTACTTTATCAGACCAGTTGCCAGCAAACTTGCCAGCATCAAAAACTTCCTTGTGGCAAAAAAAAGGAAAGAAAAAGAAAAACAAACAAACAACACCAGAAACAAAGTTAAAAGATTGATGACAGACTGGTGGAAATATTTTCACTCATATCGTAGACAAAAAGCTAATAATCTCCTTAATAGATAAAGAGCTCGTAAAAATTGACCTTTTTAAAAAAAAAAAAAAAAAAGATTAACAATCTAAAAGAATATCCACAGGAAATACAAATGACCTTTATACATATGAAATGATACTTAAATTCATTATAAGAGAAATTCACATTAAAACCACCTGATTGGCACAAACGCTGAGTTTGAAGATACATTCTGTTGTAATACTGTGGGAAAGCAGGTATTGTCATATACAGTGGTAACAGTGTAAACTGGAACAATCTCTATGGGGGAGTGGATAATTTGGCAACAACTACCAAAATTACAAATGCTTTACCCTCTGATCTAGTATATTAGTTTCCAGGGGCTGCCATAACAAAGTACCACAAACTGGGTGACTTAATTAAACAGAAATTTATTGTCTCACGGTTCTAGAGGCTAGAAGTCTGAAATCAAGATGTTAGCAGGGTCATGCTCCCTCTGAAACCTGTAAGGGAATCCTTCTTTGCCTCTTTGTAGCTTTCGATGGTTTGCTGGCAGTCTTTTGTGGTCCTTGGCTTGCAGCTATGCTTTTCTCTTCAAAATGTATTCTCACTGTGTCTGTGTCTTCACATGGCCATCATCTTATAAGGACATTAGTCATTGGATTAGGTGCCTACCCTATTCCATTATGACCTCATCTTAACTAATGACATCTACAATGACCTTATTTTCAAATAAGGTCATATTCTGAGAGACTGAGGGTTAGGACTTCAGTATACCTTTTATGCAGGGACGCAATTCCACACATAATACCCAGCAACCCTTCTTTAGTGTTTATTCTTCAGATATATTGAAACAACCTAAAGTCTGTCAGTAGAGGCTTTGTTCACTACAATAGAATAGTGTGCAGGTACAAAACAGAATATGGAAGTTATGAGCTGACATGGGAAAATCTTCCAGTCAGAACAAGAAAGTAGCAGGCTACCTTATGAGTAAAAAAGAGGAAAAATAATATATCTTTGTATTTGCTTATATTTATATGAAACAACTCTGGAAGAAGACATGAGATATTAATAAAAGTGATTATGGGAGGTGAGGATATGGCAGGTGGGAGCAGAGATGCAAGTAAGACTTTATTGCTTATGTTACTTTATTTGTGAATCATGTGACAAATTACCTGTCTTAAAGGATGATACACCAAGGATGTCATCCTTTGAATTCAGTAAAGAACTCATTTTTATGAAATTAATAGAGAATTTTTATCTTGTCTTAGTAATAAGTACCTATTTTCTTTTTCCTTTTTTCTTAAGCTTGGCTTAGTTTTTGGAATTTATTCCCAATATCCCTCGATTCAAGTGTTACACACCTGCCCTTGGTTTATTGCATCAGTATGACTGTTATTTCTCATTAGTAAAGAAATCATGTGCCTATTCCAGAACCTTCGGTTAGAGATCCAAATAAAAGCCAATCAGGCAGGCACTGTCATTCTTTATGAAAAGGCTGTTACAAACAGTCCTTTGATGAGCTTAAGGGAATTAACATTAAAATGGTCTTAAGCAGGAGCCTAGCTAATGAGTCAATATTTTTATCTACCTAAAAATTTAAAATAAGATGTTATGAAAGAAGCGTTCACACTCTTTGGTAGCATATTGTCTTTAATTTCTGTCTTAAAATTTTCTTAGCAGTTTTAAAGTGGACTTGATTAATGTACTAAGATCAAAATCAGAACTTTTTTCTTAAAAAATAATTAACCTTATAATTATATTCCTTTCCCCGCTTCGGAAAAAAAAAGGTTTATTTTGATATAGTCCCCATGGTCGGTGGGGGTGGGAGTAGGGGGGTGGGCAGGGAATACAATTTCAGATTCAATTAAGAATACTTTGGGACATGGTTACTTAGTTCTGTGTGTCATCCACATCTTTTATTTCCCCTCTTCTCTATCCTACTGCCTTGTATTTTAGTTCAGCAACTAGAAAGATGAGGAAAAGAAAAATATGTCAGCCTCTTTGGCTAATTAATAGTTTTGGTAAGAGAAATAGCTAGGAGGATAGTTGAAAACAGGACTAAAGATGATGCTTGGTTTGTATGAATTTTACTTTGCAAAGTTCATCCTGGTTTCTTTTATGATGGATAATTCATAGTGAACAGCATTATCTCATGACCTCTTTTCCATAGGCTACTATAAGTTCTCTCAGAATATATATTAAATACTTTTGTATAAAAGACATTTGTGTGTTACAAAGAAGCCTGATACCAGCTCTCAAGAAGTGTGCAAGGTGTGCAGGGAGAATGAGATGTACATTTAACTATGGCACAAAAAGTTTCGTAACACACATCATCCCCAGAAATAATAACACAAGAATTAGAGGTGGGGACAAGTTGTCAGAACAGGGCAGAGGGGAAGGTTACAGTATGGAACAAAGCATGTGAATTCTAACTGAACTAATATCAGATATGTAGGGATATCTAAAATGAAATCTGGGAGCCTCAAGATAGGAAGAAAAGGAAAGAGAAGCTTAGGGGGTGGAAGAAAGGAAACCTGTGTTTAGGAAGGAAAAGTAGAAAACCCTGCCGTACACCTGAAATGAAGCAAGGCGGGCTGCCAGTTCTAATCAAAGACAGATTTTTCTATTCCCTGTACACGCTCAGGAGTAGACCTCCAGCAGTCACGGCTGGACCAGTCCCAGCTCATCCTCTGGGTAATAGAAACTCATTTGCCAGGCAGAGACTTGGACCATACTATCTGGTCTGTGCCTTTTTACCTTCCTTTGTTCATTCAAAAGATTCCTGTAGTCAAGTGACTGCCAATGTGAATCTGATTATCCCCATGTTGAAATCTTCAGATGCTTCCTGTTACTGTTAGAAGATTAATCCTGTCACCAGTTCTGAAGACCTGCACGGTTGCCCTTGCCATCTCTTTAGCCTCCAGTCCTGCCACACACCCTCATTCTCTCTTTCCGAGCCTGTGCCGTTCTCTGCGTTCTCTACATGCCACCATGCTCCCTCCAACCACAGAACTTTTCCACATACTCCTCCCTCCCTCTGCTGTTTAACTATTTGATTCCTCCTCACCCACTCCCAAGCTTTTCCTTAGTAGCACTTATCAAGATAGAAGTTTTGCATTTTTGTGTGATTATTTGATGGTCTCTTCCACTAAATTCTAAGCTCTTTAGAAGAGAGGAACCATGTCAGCTTTTGCTTATCATTCCCACGCAGAGTTGGCTTAAAACATATCTGTTGTGAACGGCTGAAGATATTGAGCCGCTCATCAGGGAAGCTGAATAGCGAACACCTCATTCAGGCTGTTTTCTTACCTATGGCTGCCTACTTATTAAAAATGCCTTAAATAAGAAAGACATTTCTTTTTTCTCATGTAAAAGGCCAAGCTCGTATGGTGAGCTGGGTAAAATCGTCAAAGGCCCAGACTTCCATCTTTTTTGGTGGGCACCTATGAATCCATTTAAAATTGAGCTCTATTAGTAAAGAAAAAGAGTTCGAGAACTGGTAATGAGGGCAATTAAAAATTTCTGCCATAATGCCTTATTAAGGTATTGTAAGAATTAAATATAGCCTAAAGACTCTTAGCGTAGCTCCTGGCACATAGCACTCAACTGTGGCTATTTGTATTCCTTCATTCGATATATATGCAATAAATTACTTACCTGAGAAGCCTTCCCACCCCTATTCTTTGGACATTTTTCAGCTCTTCATTTCTTTGTTTCTTCATTCTTGGGTTAAATTGCTTGGTTTATTATTTTGCAGATGGTTAACCCTAAGTATAGGGAGCCCATCTCTGTTTTCCTTTTGATAGTTCATTGAATAACAGCCCTTCTGCCACCCCACTGGGACTTTGCTGTCCATAGCCTCTTCATGATTCCTGTTTATATCAAGTCAGCTTCCCCATAGCTAAGATAAACTCTGTTGATTAAATAGAGCCACAGATCTTCTCCTGTGGATGGTGCCATTTGGGCGTAAATCCACCTTTGTTTACTGCTGTAGTTTGACGTGCAAGGGGTGAGGAAGGTGAGAGGGAACTTTGGTGAAAATAGAATAGGACAGTGTGTTTATCTTTGACAGTTTATTTTCTTTATTTCCTGTGAAGGCAATTGACCGAGGTGTGGGCTTTGAACTTGTCTACAGCCCCGCTATCAAAGATTCCACAATGAGAAGGTACACAATTTCCAATGCTCTCAATTTGATGCAGGTCTGCAAAGGAAAGGTATGGTTCCATAATTTTAGGATTTTTTTAAATCTAGCAGTTTATTATTATTAATAGACTGGATTATCAAACTGATTCCTTTTCCTTAAAGCAGAAAATTCCCAAGGCACAGGCACAAATTATCCCATTTCAGTGAGCTCCGCAAGTTTTAAGGTGAAGACAGATGTCCAGAGAAGAATTATGTGAGGCGGGGGAAGAAGTATTGAAAGCTTTTATCTTTCAATGAGGAATTTGCGCTTACCCACTGTGAAAAGAATGGTCTAGATAGTAATTGTCATCAGTGATTTGAATTAAGGTTAAATGACCTTTTCAACTAGTTTTTAGAACTAATTCATCTTTTCTAAGATCTGTGGGAGAGACCTACTTATTATAAGCTGCCTTATTTTGACATGAAGTCTTTTATTCTTTCACTTTAATTATTTACCTTATCTTTAAAAGAAGTTGGTATTTATAGTGCCTTAAATGTTAAAATGTGATTACCGGTTATTTGTATTATAAGACTTTTTTTTTTTTACGTTTATCTAAGATTAATACTGATTGTTTTCTATTTTGTAGAATGTAATTCTATCTAGTGCTGCAGAAAGGGTAAGTCTGATACTACATACTTTGTTTTCACTTTTCAAGTTAGAAAACCTTGAAAAGTTTCTAGGGGAGAAATGAAAATGGTACTATAAAGGACGTTTATTGCATATTTTTATTTTGTTCATTGTAATTGCTGAAGAGTAAAATTTATCCCTATTCCTTTTGGGCTTCAAGTTTTGTTTACATAGTTTTTTCTTTATACCATTACAGTTTTTGCTTTTTAAGGTTCTTTTATATTTTCAAAAATTTAAGAAAACCATCAAAATTATAAGGACTCAAATTTTAAGGACTTTATTACTTGTGAATACTTAAACATCCTATTAATTTACTGCAACTTAAGTCAATGAAATGTTACAAGTATCTTCTCTCATGTCTATTTGTTGTTCATTTTAGCCTTTAGAAATAAGAGGCCCATATGATGTGGCAAACTTGTATCCTTTTCTGAGTAAGAAGTTACTGAATTTTTCTTTCAGGAATCTTGTAATTTGATATGATATTATACTTTAACAAGGTATTTTTCCTAACCTTTTACTGTAAGTTTACCAATTAATAACTTCAAAAACAAATTACATCAGGTTGTAGAGAGGTTCATCATTTTGTTTTCTGGATTAAGGGTGAGATAGAAAAAGGAGAACGAGGAAGAGGGACTCTATAATAAAAGCTTACAGCGAAATGACCCTCTTCTCTGATGCATGTTCTATTGGGCTAAGAACTGTTGTAGAATTAAACTCTCTCTCTCGATGTGGCCAGGTGAGCTGGCATTGTCAGTTATGTTTGTGTCAGTTTCATGCCCTTGGCTGACTCTGGGTTGAAATCCTTGATGATGCCACCAGAGGGTTGCTGTTTGGGCTGTCTGAAAGTGATGCCAAGGCTGCTGTGTCCACCAACTGCCGAGCAGCCCTCCTCCATGGAGGTGAGCAAGTTCTTCTAATAAAAACACTGAACGGTCATGTTAGGAGCCAATTATTTTTATCAGACAGTTGAGCCACATCTATTCTTATTTCCCTGCCCTGCAGAGCTTTTTGGGGTTATCTTTTCTCATCCTGTTTACCCATATCCATCAATGCTTTTTTACCCTTCACTTCAGGCTTTACTTTCTGTAGTTGGTGGAACGAATATGGTTTGTATCACAAAAATGAGTACTGAGTGTGCTCTTTCAAGCAGTGCGTGTGTGTCCCTGCCCACATTCGGATCGGCTTCAGCTCTCCTTGTCTTCTCTCTCTTCCTCATGGGAGCATGCTTTCCCTCCTGAAAGTCAGTATTTTAGAGAACTGAAATGTTAACAATATATGTTAAGCCACTTATTAAGAACACAAAAACAGCAAATACGTTTTAAAAACCCAACTAACAAACTCAAATTATAACTTTTTCACATTTAATACAGCTTGCGATTCTTATTTTTTGTTTACATGTTCAAGTATGTGCAAACTATACGTTTTTTACTCACATTTCATTTATATGTATCTGCCTGTTCACATTAATTCTACTACTAGAAGCCATTGGATTTCTTATTCATTAGGTGATAAAAATTGAATTAGAAATGTTTGGTATGCCTAGACTTTTTATTTTTAAAAATTTAAACTTTTGATCTGCTATTTTAACTTCATTCTCTTTGAAATTCTTAGCACTAGTCGTAGTGGTTAAGAAGCAATTTACTAGATATCACCCAGAGGAATTTTATTCTTCAGAATAGGTTGCTACATGTAGACAAAGTTATTTGGCATACAATGCTAGTTAGGTTATTGAAGTCTTATGCATTGTGTCTGAATTTTAAAGATCTTATCTTCAGTCTAGAGAATTGGTTACTATATTAACTTACCCTGAATTAAATTATTTTACTTTTGGTTTCAAAATATTCAGTTTGGGATTGTTGTGTTATATAGTCTAGACCTCCATCACATAAGCTCTGGGAATGACCAAATTAATCAAGATTTTACCAAAATTAGGGAATAGTTGATCCACACTTTGGTAGTTCTGCCATGATTTTTGTCTATTTTAAATTATTATAAGAAATCATCAAGCTTTAGGATAACAATTTGTGTCCTAAAGTAGACTAAAACAAGAAAGGGAAACTTAAAAATATATAATAGGGAAAAATATGAACTTTTGCATTTGACTTCAAAAAGCTCAAATATTCAACATAGTAGATATATGAGTATGTGTGTGTGTATGTGTGTGTGTGTGTGTGTGTGTAGATGCTAAACTATAAGACTTGTGGACTATAGGTAGCATTATGATTCCCCTAGTGTGCCCAGGACAGTCCTCGTTTGTACCTGCTGTCCCTGCAGAATTAACCACACATCTAAAGGATAAATTATAGTTACCTTGGTTTTAGTTGACACTGGGATCAGTATGAGTTGTGTGGTATATTTCTAAGATTGCTAATTCAGCCTTAGGTTACATTAGAAGAAAGAAAAGATTCTGAGTGAAGGGGATTCAAAGTCTTATTGTCCTCTGCACTGATGAAGTCCCAGCTGACATCTGTATCATCTTTAGTGCTACATTTAAGGAGGACAGTAATGCACTGGAGCATTGCCAAAAGATAGTTAATAGATTCTTAGAGGGTTTGGAAACCTTCTCATGAGAGGAATCATTGAAAGCAGAGCAGGATTGGATACCTGGAAAACAGAAGACTTGAGCCACGTAGTAGTTGGTTTCCAACTTAGGAAGACTTACCATGGGGAATCAAATTAGATGCATCTTGTGCGGTTCAGAAACCAGTGAATAGCATTTCTAAGAAGATTCTGGGGAAGGAACAGAAGAAAGGGGTTCAAGGCCAGAGGCTTCAGCCTGTGATTGATGAGGTTGGTGTCCTCAATTAGCTATTGGACCAAGATGGACCTGTTGGGGACCCCTGCCTTAATTCTGATTCCTTATGAACAAAAAAATATAGTGCACTCGTAGTCTTTAGATTTTCCTTGGCAGGATGGGTGAAGGAAATACTATATGTGAAAACACTTTGTCAAATAAAGTCCTACACAAATGTAACTTCTTGCTATTACAAAAAATAAATTTATTTCTAAAAGATTTACACTAATAAGATTACTTTATCTGATAACTATAAAAGTCTTGTTTATAATTGTCAGATTAAGACGTAAATGTTTTCATAATAAAAAATAGAACATTTATGAGGTGGACATAAATGAATTTTCAAACTACTACATTTTGTTGTGTTATAAAGTGTTGGTTTTTCACAATTTAATTTTTATTTTTTTTATTCAATTGATTTTTAGACTTTACTCAGAACCATAGTGATACAAATAAACATCTCTAAACACAAGATTTTTTATTTGGTGAAATGCAAATCATTGGCAATTCCTATTTATTTTGAGGTTCCCTGATTATGTTGGCATTTGAATAACCTAGAGAGCATTTGTTCCTTTTATAAATTGAAATGCTTTGAAATAACTGACAAAGATGTGGTAGACTTACTAAGTTAATTTTGACAAATGAGAAGGTGAAATGCTTAACTCTAAAATTGACTTATTACTTGAAATAAATAATTTTTAAAATTCATATTCATTGAGTTCTTTTGATTCTTCCTCCTTCACAGCTAATGGATCTCTCGCTACTTCTCCCTAGTCCCTCTCTTTCCTAAGAACAAAGTTGGGATCTCTTTCAGTGGCACTGTGGCCCTTCACAAGCTACCCATCCAGCATCATTTCACCCTAATTTTTTGATGCTCCTCCTTTACCTCAGATATGTTGTTCCCTAACCTATTCTTACCTCTTTCTCCATGCCTTTACAAAGGAAAACTTATCCATTATATTTTCTTCCTCCCTATTCCTAGTGTCACCTTTTATGATACTTTCCTTGATTCGTCCAGGCAGAGTTAAATCTTGTGGGTACTTCTATTATATTTGCCCATAATGCACTTATCCCAGTGTGTTATAGGAAGAAGCACTGTGTTAGCCATCTCTATACCTTCCTTAGGTAACACAGTGCCTGGCCCATTAGTATATGTTTTTAGCAGAATTTTGCTAAGTTAAAGTTGAACTCTGCTGCCAATCTGATCTAAACAGCTAATAACTTTATTCTTTGTTCGTTGTCACCATTTTATGAAATCAGTAAATATGAGTTTGATTTTCTTCACTTAAGTATTTGTTGAATACTGGTTACATAAACTAGGCATTGCTGGATGTTAGCAATTCAATACATTTGATTCTTCAGAGGTACATTGATGATCTAGTAAGGAAGGCAGATACGGTATGTGCTGTAAAATGAAGTGAGCACACACCACATGGGAACAGTACAATTGACTATCATACTTGATGTCGTGATTCGTCTGTCTTTCTTCCATATGTAAAGCATCTGCTGCACTGAGGTCTGTGACATGGGGTCTGGCTGTATAAGATGCTGTGGACAGACCATTAGAGATAACCTGCCCTACAGTTTTACCCTTGAGGTGATCCTTAGGGATGAATTAGATGTTAATATACTGATGTTTGTATATGTTGTGTGTGTGTTGGGGGATAATACAGTAAATATCATCAGCACTCAGCAGTTCATTATGGTTTTATCATTTATTAGTGCCGTAAGTCAAAGCAACATGATGATACTTGTTAAACGACCTCTTTAAGTCATGTCTTAACTTCAAGCCTTAAGATTTCCTTGTTTGTTTTATAGAAACTAGGAAAACTGCTTTTGGAATTATTTCCACGGTGAAGAAACCTCGGCCATCAGAAGGAGACGATGATTCTCTTCCAGCTTGCAAAAAGGCCAAGTGTGAGGACTGAAAAGAATCTCACAGTCTTTTTCAACACTCCCTTCTTCCCTTTAATAATCTATCAGCCACAACAGAAATAAAACCTTTATATGATTTACTGTTTTCACATGGAGCTAGAAATCAGTAGTCTATAAAAATGGTTTGATTTTATAGTTAAGCCATTAAAATAACAAAACCTGGTGAAGCATTTAAAGAAAAAGAGTCAGTTTAATAAATTTATATATTTTTTAAGAGAAAAATAGAGTCTAATTTATATTTTTCTAAGTGATGAGATGACAGGTATAATTAGAAGATGTTTTAATATTTCAGGAGACTTTAAAATATCTCTTGTTTATTTAAAAACTCATGCTTTTCTACTTGATACACATTATTTTTTAAACCTACTGCTCAAAAGTGATTATTTTAGGACTGTTAAAACTTATATTAAGGGGTTGGCTTTTAGTTAATCTCTTTTTGTTTTAAGCCTCTCTTTCATTATATTCATCAAGTCAAAATTCTTTCTAAAAAGACTTGCTATAAAATTTGTAGAAGGAGCAGGAAAGTGTACATACAACACACTTGGCCTCTTCCTTTGCTGCTTCTCACCACCATGATGTCCTGGAAATAAGATTCTCTCCTTTGAGTTGGAAGCCCCTGAAAACCTAATATTGATTTTTCTTAATAGTTATGTTAAGAATATCAAAGCATTGGACTCAACTAACTTTGGAAGTAATTTTTTAAAGAACAGGATCATTATATCCAATAGAAGTACCCTTTTTTGCAAATATCTGCATTTTTGCTATATTGATATAAAATGAGAAAAAGAATTCCGAGAGAAAAGATAATATAATATATTTATAAATATAACATATTTATATATTTATGTTATATATAAA